AAGCAGCAACAACGCTACACATAAAAACTGATGATGGTGGAAAAATACACCGAAACGTATTTTGATTAATAAATAGAGACAATAAATGACTGAAATCCAGGAATAAATTTCATTAATTAATGCCCTCTAGCGGATAATTTAATAATTGGTTCATGCCTTTTCAAAAATAGAATTAAATAGATTAAGGCCGTATCTGGTGAATATGCCTGGTTTTCTTTAAATAATACAGTTCCCCAGAAAAATTAGTGCTGTACCTATGTATAATTTTTGTATGTTTCAGTTTCTGGTTTTCCCTGTATCGTCGATATTATACATGTGTACCGGACATGCCTGCTTCTTTGCGTCCCGAAAAATTGATAAGAAAAACCGCATTAAGAAAAGATGTTATTCGTTCCCTTTTTTACATGTACAAACCGTTCCGCAATAGACTAACCAATACCCGAACATCAGAGCTGTACAATAACAATTTATCAGTTCTGGTCAATAAGACTTTATATGAAATATCCAGTGAGAGCCAGAAGGGCAGTTATACGTATTATTTCAAGATGGCACCGAAAATATTATCCTCATCCTCATCTAGAAGCGTATCAGATACAGCGTCTTTATTGGATGTTTTAGATGACGTTTTTTATAATCCGAATGACCAATGTTGCGCTTTAAAAGTTGTTTGCCGCGACTCAATTCCGATCCTGCCAATCTCAGGTAATAATAATATGTTTATATTATTTATGATTTTTAGGAAGACGTTTGTTTTTGTTATTCTCATTTTCTTGATGTATTTTGTAGATAGAAACTAGTCCGTTCATATTCTCATGAGCTTCGGTTTGCATTTGTAGCAAAGTGTCCTTGCCCTTTAATTATTTTTACTTAAGTTCGTAGTTCACATATGTTCAATCTGCATTCATCTCCGCTATAAAGTTGTGGATTTTGAGGCTCTATCTAATGTCTTTTGATTTATTTTAGTTCATCACAAAGTACATAAATACGAATATTCATTGATGGACAGAGCTATTCAATTAAATTAAACGTCTCGTCACAAGGCTAATGAGTAATCAAAAGAACTGCACTATGTATATTCAATAAATACTTTTATGTTATTGTTTTTTTCTCTATTGAATTTTCAATTAGGCAATTTGGTTGTTAGTGTAGAGTTCTGAAATCTAAGTTTTAACGGATAATTAGCAAATATTCTTAAAATTGGGGCATAGGGAAAGAAACATTTTTCATTGCTTGATAAATAAGGTTTTAAATTGAAATGATCTACGCACTGGAGGCACAAAATAGCTTCAGCGTTAGAACTCGATGTGCTAAAAAAACATGTACTCTACAAAATGCAGCCGAGCTTAGAGTAATTTATCTTTTACCCTAGATAAAACACGACCGTAATATTTGTATGCAATATGATGTTTTCATACAAGCAGTTTATATTATCATATTTTTACAGTCTGTATATTCGTAAATATAAATTTATATTCTAAAACGTCGTAGTATTTATAGCAGTTATTAATTATTACGATTAGGATAGTAATAAATTATGGTTATTAGGACAGGGACACAGTGTATCAAATTTAGTTTAGGCTTTTCCGCTAATGCTATTTACTTTAAAAACAATCCTTTATTTGTAGGTCTGACGTTGAGGGGTGCAGTATTAAGTAGTTCGGTTCAATTTCACAAACTAAAACTCGAGTTTGGACCCATGTATGGCAGACTAGGTGGCTCTGAATGTGTTACAGTAAATTTCGATGCTGTAGTGCAGGTGCTGGTTGTCGACTGGTGGCATCGTCTTTATCCGTTCCATGGAAACCATATGCTAGATTTAGCCGATAGTTTAAATTGGTGTTTAAAAAACGGAAGTTAGTCCAGAAAATGTGCATCTGAATCCCAAAGTTTACAGATATTTGAACTTTTCTACTTGACTTTTTAAATCAGCCTGTTCACATCAATATAATATTAATCATATAGACTTCATTCATTATATTTTGTTATACCAATCAACGAAGCATATTTAGCATATAATGTTGGACTTGGAGGAAATTTGTTTATTTTCTTTAGACCATGGCTCTTAATCGAAAGTAAAATTAAATTGAGTTGTCGCCCTGAAATACAGAACGTTGTTATTTTTACTGAACTTTATTTACACTTAATTTATACCTAAGTGGCCTAAAGATATTTTGAAATTAGAATATTATAGGGGTTATTGTTCCCGTATAAACTGTTACTTTTACTTGCTGAAATAAAATTTCGTTTATGTTACTGTTAATGTAGTTTATTATGCAAATGATACAAAGTATTCCCACATGAATGTTTTAAAAGCATGGCTCACATCAGCTGCATATAAAGGTACTACTTAGTGTATGAAATTAAAGTTTTTGTATGTATAAAACTAATCCAAACTAATGACAAAATGCATAAATAAAAAAAAATAATTTTTTGCAAAACGAACCTGTTTAGGTAATAATTGATAGCATGATCAATTTAGGGAAAATCTGGAATGAATTTTGTCAATTGAATATTGAAAAATGTTCTGACCCACTTTGCGTACGTTTTCGTACCTACTTAGAAATACCAATTGAAGTTGTATCTTGTTAAGTCTCCAACCACATCGCGGCAGCTATAAAATTTGCTTATGTTAGTAATTTAATGTGCATCTCAGCGCAGTTGCGTTGAGTTGCATTCCAATACAAAATTATATCACTGTTTTCAATAACCGTTTTAAGATTTAGCTGTGGGCTAAGTGGGCTTACGTAGTAACACTGTATCGACTCGAGTGATTAATAATTCATTCGGAATTGAAGTTCCGTTAAATCGGAAGACTGCTGAGGTCCATTGCTCTAATAATTTATAGAGTAGGTACTACACTATTTTGAACTTTACTCGAATAAGAGCGCTTAACTACATATTGGAAAACTACTAGTTGTTTGAATATCGCTCTATACTCTAACTGAGTTAACAAACTCTAACATTAGTTAAAATGACCCAGTTAGTACCCAAGTAAGTCAATGAGAGACAAGAAGACACACTTGCTTGTATTTCACAATACTCAGCTTCTTCAATAATGTGTTGTGAATCCTATTGAGCCATCACAACATGTGTGAGAAAATTCGGGCAGTTTCGAACAGAAAGCGAAATTTGAATATCAGGACACTTGGGTGCAAGCTTATGCTAAAATTTCCTGTTTGCCGTCCCGTCTTTGCTCATTTCTCAGAAGCAAAATGAGGAGGAAGGCAATTTTGGCAGCATTCCAGAGAGAACTAAATAGCCGTTTAAGAAAGTTAACCATCGAAAAGGAAATGTTGGCAGTTTTCTAAAAAAGTCTTTGTTTCAAGAAGTTTCTCAATAACCATTTGAGCCACATAATTCATTTTGGCATCGTTGAATAGAGAATGGAAAATTCGATTCAGTCGTAACAACATGAGTGAGTAAATTTTAGTAGTTACCCAGCAAGCAAAATTTGAATATCAGACACTTAGGTACAAGATTATCCCAAAATTTCATGTTTTTCGTCCCGTTTTCGCTCATTTCTCGGAAGAAAAATGAGTTGGAACGCTCATTTTCACATAATTTCAGAGATATCTAAATAGCCTTTATAGAAAGTGAACCATCGATAAGGAAATGTTGGCAAATTTCTCAAAAAAGTCTCGATTTAAAGAAGTTTTAGATTTGCGTGGTTTTTTTTGAGGTGCAGAATCGGCTCAAACATGACGCTGAGGTATATTAAATATTTGAAAAAGTAATCAACTATTTTTCAGTAGCATCAACAGTTTAAACGTTCTGCGCAAAAAATGTTTTTCGTACTTTAATTATTTAAACGATGTTTCACAGCCGAAAATCGCATTCAAATTATTGACCCAACATTCTGACATCCTTCCGAACAATTTCCAATAATCTTTTGCCTTCATCTATTTAGTGCTCGAAACAGGCGTTTTAAAGTCTAATCTGACTGTACTAATAGTAAATATAAATTCAAAATAGGAGCAACGCACATGCTGCACATGAACTGAAAATAGTCTCTGTCAGTGGCTTTTATGGAAGACATTGTTCCTTACCGCAAGATTGGCACACATTGTATATCTGATACAAAACGCAACAAATATAAATGTTGAGAAGGAGATTTCAAGCAAATATACAATTATTTTTCTTTGACAGTGGTTTATTCCAAGTCGACATCGGATTGCTCGAGTTAATTGAGAATATATTTGTGGCCAAAGGTCTTCTGGTGCCAACAGTCGCTTTAATTATATTTAGAGCATGTCTTCGTTTTCCCATCAAATTGCTGCCTTGTATATCGACGTACGTATGTACAGGGAAAAATCGTTAATTCGGCTACTTATTAATTCGTATACATATCAAATTATGAAATGTTCCTGTTCTAATTAACATTGTATTAAACAATGTTGTCAGGTTTGTAAATATGTGTTAAAACTTATCTACAATAGGAAGAAGTACCTGCCGTTTGCCTTGCCACTCAGTCTGAATGATGACATAAACGGAACATCAATAGACCCTACTAATCACAATCTAATTAAACCAGATTGAAGGGGCATGATTAATTCGGGGGCGATAAATAAGATGCTATCAAGATCGGTTATCTCATCATTTTCTGAAACAGCATAGATAAACAATTAATAATCCAGATGGCATTTAATAATTGGAAATGTGTTGCCGCAAAGTGAAATTGGTGCAATTATATATCAATGATTCGTGTTTCGCGAAAATATGTTATTTATATGCAAAACGGTTAGTCTTGGCCGGCTATTGGAAGTTGTAGAAATCCCCGAATTATTGCAAGATTAATAAAAAAATGTTCCTAAAATAACGAATAGAGTTTCCATTACTTCATTAAACTCTAACAGTCAAAACCGTATTTATCTTTAGTACAGCAAGTTTTGTTGATAGTGCAAAACCAATCGGAAGCTTTCACGTGCATCTTAGTAAGGAAATATTTCCGTCAGCCAAAATGAATAAATAAAGTTGTCTGCATGTACGCAGTGTTAAAGCAAAGACGCGCATAATTCTAAATATGGCGATGATGTAATTGGTAATATCAAAACTATAAGTCAGATTCTTCACAGAACTTTACAAGTTGTTCCTCAAAAAAATAGCTCCAGGAGACAGTTAATAATACAGAATGGACTTTGCTTTCTGTTACAAACTTTGAGTCGATAGAAAATGTTTTATGGAAAAGTTCATATAGTGCGTATTTTGCTTTTTTTCTCAAAAACATGTGTTAAAGTTCAAAGAAATCTTTTGTTTAATTTTACTATCTTCTTTACTAATGTTCTATTAGCAAAAACTTTTTGAGTTGGCAGATTTCCAAGAGCAGAAATTAAAATTTCCTGTTAATCTGGTTCTACATCCAGCGGACGCGTGTTTTTTGTTCATAAAATACCATTTCTTAATACTAACATTATATTTAATACCAATTTGTCACGATTTTCGAGTTGTAAATGTTTTTCTTAAATATACGACCTGAAATGTATATAAAAGTATACTAAGTTTTAAAAAAATTGAGGGTCTCAAACGGAATTACTGCACATTTTAATTTTTTTTTATTTTGTTCTTGGGATACTAGAATAAATGTTCCTTACCTACAGGTCAGCTATTTTTTCCTTCAGTTAGTTTGAACCGTTTCCGTTATAGAAAAACTTTAAGAATATCGCCAAGTGCGTTCCAGGCAGTCAATTTTGTTGTTAGCAAATGGATCTGCAAATACCCCGAAAAGCCGAATATGCATTAGTTCTCGTTTTAAGTTTCCAGATATTATGTATTTCAATTTTAGCCTGCACAGGAGCGAACAGCCGCAATGTATTTACTCAGACAGATACTTTGGGGAATGCTTATTCAATAATGTTCTCATCAGCTATCTTCATCAGATATTTTCAACCGCATCCGAAATGTGCATGTTTAAATATTTTAACGGTTTTGTAAATGGCAAAGCACTATTGAAATATTCGAGATTTTTTCGGCAAGAGGTAAAATTCAAAACACTATGAAAATTAAGACAATTATATTATATTATATATATTATATATTAATACAGTCATATCTGAAACTGTTTTTGAGATATGAATATTTTAAAACTTCAGAAAAACTGAAAGAATAACATTATTTTAAAGTCAAAGGAAATATTTTGAAATTAATAAATAAATACTCCTTTTACAGTTCAAAGGCCAAAGTATTCTTATTTTTGCAATTATGTATTATCATTTAGAGATGAAATTATTATGGTACTATTTGAAATACCCTCTCAATAAAAATGTCTAATCCAAGAACCAATGTCGCCTTGCGAATACTATTTAATCGGCATGAAATGTACTTAAATATTTACCCAGCACGATTGCTATAAGATATTAATGGTAAAATCATAAATAGTTTTATTATGTTGCGTCAAGGGTCGGGAATCTCCCAATTCTGATGTAAGAATAGCTTAGATCACACGACATACTTTTGAAATTTGATTTTTTATTTATTTTAATCATCATTTCTAGAAACCGTTACAAGATTACTGTGAAACCTTGATACAAAAAAGTTTTTGTAGTTAATCAGTGATTCAAAAGAGATAGATTTTCGAGGCCATTCCTTGAAACTAGTGGGTTTTTCGGGTTTTTAGGCCGTTGTTGAGTAGAATTTCTTCTTGACGTTTCGCAAGCACGAGTGGCTTGCATCTTCAGAAGTGTCAGTTTATAATTCCGTCGGTGTTCTTCTATTCTCGTCGCAACCGATCTCTTAGTAGTTTCTATGTAGACGCTTCCACAGGAGCATGGAATCCGGTAGATTCCTGCAGTTGCGAGGGGGGGTCTTCTGTCTTTAGCTGACCCTAGACATTTTCGGATCTTTGTTGTGGGCTTGTAGTTCTTATGTTGTGTTTCCTCAGGAACCTCCCAATTCTGTCCGTAACCTTGGGAACAAAAGGCAGGAAAGCTTTCATAGTGGATTCACTTTTTTCCGCACGGCCCACTCCTACAGGTCTTTTGATGTCCAACTGGGAATAACCGTTCTGAAGAAATGCTTTTTCCAGGTGCTGTAGTTCTCTAGTTAGATCTTGTGGCCCACATATTTTTCTGGCTCTATCCGTGAGAGTTTTAATGATTCCCTGCTTTTGACTCGGATGGTGGTTAGATAGCTTGTGAAGATATCTGTTTGTGGGGGTGGCTTTTCGATATACCTTATGGTCCAACCGATTCCCCTGCCTAGGCACCAAAACATCCAGGAAGGCCAGTTGGTAGTTTTGTTCAACTTCCACGGTAAATTGGATGTCTGGGTGCTGCTTGTGTAGATGGTCGAGGAAGATGTCCAGGTTTTTGCGTCCATGCCTCCATATCACGAACGTATCATCGACATATCGGTACCAGATCGTTGGTTTAAGGGGAGCGGTGATCAACGCTGTTTCCTCAAACTTCTCCATGAATAGATTCGCCACCACCGGACTGAGTAGGCTTCCTATGGCTACTCCTTCCTTTTGTTCGTAGTAATATCCATTCCATAGGAAGTAGCTCCCCTTTAGACAAGCCTTGAACAGATTTGTTGTACTCTCTTCAAATAGCTCCGCCACTAATTCTATGGATTCATCCACGGGTACCTTTGTGAATAGAGATTCAACATCGAAGCTGACCAGCATGTCCGTAGGATCCAGTATGAGGTCTTGGATCGTCTTAATGAAATCTTCGGAATCCTTGATGTATGTTCCTGTGGACCCCAAGTGTGGCTGCAGAAGTGAGGATAGATATTTTGCTATATCGTAAGTTGGTGATCCCGGGACACTGACGCTTGGTCTTAGTAGTATTCCTTCCTTGTGAATATTTGGTAATCCATGCAAACGTGTGGGAGGGCTTCTGACCTAATAATCCTCTTCATGGTGTTCTCGTCTATTGAGGATATTTTGATCAGGCGGTTGATGTTTCTGAGCTTGGCTCCAGTCGGGTCTTTTTTGAGCTTTGTGTAAGTGACTGGGTACAACAAGTTTTGGATTTTCTGCTCGTACTCCTCTCTGTTCATGTCGACTGTAGCGTTTCCTTTCTCAGCTGGCAGGACGACAACGCTTGTGTTCCTTTGTATTTTCTTGAGGGCATGTTGTTCTTCTCTGCTTAGGTTGCTTGGTGGTGGTTTCTGTGGCTCAAATGGTTCTTGAGAAACCTCGAAAAAAGCAGCGTCATGTTCAATTGGATTTTGCAACCCCAAAAAAAACCACGCAAATCTAAAACTTCTTGAATTTAAGCCTTTTTTGAGAAAACTGCCAACATATCCCCATCCATGGTTCACTTTCTAAAAGGCCATTTAGTTCTGTATAGAATGATGTACAAATGAGCGTTCTTGCTCATTTTGCCTCCGAATGTCTGATTATGAAGGTTTTCACGGCCGGTCAGATTACATTTAGGAATGTTTTCCGGGCTTTGAAGCCGTGGTCTATCGGAATTTCTTCCTGACGTTTCGTCCACAACTGCGGTGGACATTTTCAAAGGCGATGAGGCATTGGGCGAAGTGATCTCCCGTCCTGTCCGACTAAGAATGATTCTCGTCACATTCTTAGTCGGAAAGCCCGGGAGTTCACTTCGCCCACTGCCTCATCGCCTTTGAAAATGTCCACCGCAGTTGCGGACGAAACGTCAGGAAGAAATTCCGATAGACCACGGCTTCAAAACCCGGAAAACATTCCTAAATGTAACTTTCTGATATTCAAATTTCGCTTTCTGCGTCAAAACTAATCGAATTTCCTCACTAACGTTGTTACCACTGAATCGACTTTTCAATTCTCTATTCAACGATGCCAAAACGAATTCTGTGGCTCAAATGGTTCTTGAGAAACCTCAAGAAAAGCAGCGTCATGTTCAAGTGGATTTTGCAACTCAAAAAAAACCACGCAAACCTAAAACTTATTGAATTCAAGCATTTTTTGAGAAAACTGTCAAAATTTCCTTACCGATCTTCTAAAAAGGCCATTTATTTGTCTCTAGAATGATGTACAAATGAGCGTTCTTGCTCATTTTGCCTCCGAGATATGAGCAAAGACGGGACGGAAAACATGAACTGAAAACTGAAAACTCGAACTTCCTCACTAACGTTGTTACGACTGAATCGACTTTTCAATTCTCTATCCAACGATGCCAAACCGAATTCTGTGGCTCGAATGGTTCTTGAGAAACTTCGAATAAA